CTCTCTCTCTCTCTCTCTCTCTCTCTCTTGCTCTCTTTCTCTCTCTCTCCCCGTCTCGCTCTGTCTCTCTGTCTCTATCTCTCTTTCCGTCTCTCTGTCTTGTGAACATTCTCTCACACACACGCACGCACGCACGCACGCATGCACGCACGCACGCACGCACACACACACAATCAGGTGTTCGCAAGGACTGCCCCAACCTTTTTTACATCTTATTAGTCATCAGGTTAACACACTCTCTCTCTCTCTCACACACAATCAGGTGTTCTCAAGGACTGCCCCAACCTTTTTTATCTTATATTAGTCATCAGGTTAACACACTCTCTCTCTCTCTCACACACAATCAGGTGTTCTCAAGGACTGCCCCAACTTGATCTGCACGCCTCACGCTGCGTGGTTCAGCGACGCCAGCCTCACCGAGCTACGGGAGATGGCGGCGGGCGAGGTGCGACGCACGATACTCGGCCGCGTTCCCGACAGCCTGCGCAACTGTGTAAACAAGGACTACATCGTGAGCGCGCGCCAGTGCGCCGCCTCTGACGCCGCCGTCAACGGTGGGTCGCACCCCTACCCCTGCAGCGGCGGCGGCGGCGGCGGGGCCGGGTTCGTGCCGGTGGGGCTAGCACGCGACCTGACTCCACTCACTGACCCGCGGCCGCCGCCCGCGCCGCCGCCGCCACCGCCGCACTCTACGCTCACGGAAATGTCGATCAACCGTCTCGTCGCGAAGGCAGAGACGAGCGAGATTCGCTGAGACGGACGGCGGCCGCCAGGGGGCGTTCCGGAGCCTCGTCCCTGCAACCGCGGTGTTCCGGAGCGCAGCGGTCGACGCACGAGTGATTCAGTCAGAACGCGGAGATCGGCTCCTACCCGAGTCGCTCTCCTCTGCGGCGCAGGGATCGAATGATTGGCGGAGTGACAGAGCGGCTAACACACGCCGAAAGGCTGCCACGGTGTAGGTGGAGTGTGTGGTGGTGTATGTACTGCTAATATTTGCTGCTCACCATTACCTACCCAACAGCCAAATGATGATTTTTTTAAGCGAGGTTTAATGTATAGTTTGACCCTATGTGTGTGTACTCCCCCTTCCCCTCCCCCTGGTGGCGCAAGAGCTACACATGATCTCCAGTTCTCCATATATATATATATATATATATATATATATGAGACTTTGCCAATTGGTGTGGATGTGCACATGTGCGTGCATGCGTGTGTGAGCTTTAGTATGTGCGATGAAGTGTGTGAGCTTCAGTATGTGCGATGAAGTGTTTGTGCATGGCAATGCCAGCTCATTGCATTCAGTGTGTGCGTGTGTGCATCATGCTAGATGTATGAAATCATGTGTCGAGGTTACCCAATCTTTGCCATGAGATCTCGCTCATATAACCATGGCGGTTGTAGGCCAGCAGTCAGATTGCTAACTAAACCTTTCATAGTGGAGGCATATCGTTTAAATCGATGTAGCGAGACTTGCAGTCATTTTACTCGTAGTCGTGGTTTTACGAAGGCAGACCGTGCATGGGGGAAACCACGGTTCACAGTGCATTCGTGAACTCACTCCTCAAGCATTTCTAAGCTGCTAACACATCGACAGAGAGTGTCCGTGTACAACTACTGGCTTGGTAACGCACACAATCAAGAATACGATCAAACGAGTAAATCATTTGTTCCGTATTTATTCCTCAATTATAATTTATTTATTTTTTTATATCTTGTTTATTTCCTGTCTTGAAGATGTATGAGGTTATTGGAAATGACGCTGGGTGGTGTAACATGCTCGGTGTGCTAGGTTCTACAAAAACTGTAATTTTCACACTCAGAGTTTACGGCAGGCTACTTGGAATGGTGCACAATGTGGTTAAACCTGTGTTAGTGGAGCTCAAGGGGTCGTTGTCGTATCAGGTACTACAGATATGTACCCGAGGTACATATAATTATGTATACACAAAGTGTACCAGACTTGTACTACAGAAGTGTACCCTAACCCTAACCATAACCCTAAACATACATCATATAAAAATATAAACATAATACTAAACAACCTAAAACTACCTCCTAATTATATAAAAATATAAACATAATACTAAACAACCTAAAACTACCTCGGGTACATATCTGTAGTACCTGATACGACAACGACCCCATCTGTGTTAGCGGACACCTCTCTATGAAGAACGATTGGTGGTACCATCAAGTGGTAGTTATACAGTGAAACCACATCTGTATAAAAGACATGTGATGATGTGTCTATAAAGAGCATTTTTAGGGTTCTTTTCAGTAACTCGTATATTCAGGTTAGACTGTGCTTCAAATAAGCTCAGAATGCGACTGCTACTCGTGATCTCGTTAGATTGTATTCTTGATTGTTTTGTGTTTGTAACTAACTCACTGTGATGTCAACATAGAGCCAGGCACTCACACACATGTAACACATATCTGCTCTGTGGACCTGTCAATGCGTCATAATTTACCTTTCCACCTAGGGTGATTGCCAGGTAGCTTCTGACAGGGTTTTGCTCCCTCTGACCGGATAGCCAGTCCCATAGTCTAGACATAGACAGTCTACCATAGATAGTCTCTGCGGCGACACTCGCTCTTGGATAGCACCTCCGTCTCTCCTGACGACACACGCCGGACACCTCTTGTCTTCTCGCTATGGCGACACACGCTCCACGTAGCAACACCATCTCTCCCGACGACACACGCCATGCACCTCTCGTCCGCTCGCTACAGCGACACACACCGTACACCTCTCGCCATGTAGTAAACTTCTCTGTCTCTCCCACGTTATACCTCGCACACTACAGCCCACATAGCAAACTCTCACTGCCTCGGTGACCTTGAGGGGATTCGCCGCACGTGCGTTCGCGCCCGTGCCTACAGCCGGTCAACGTCCGGACAGCTTCACCAATCATTGTTGTGATAGAACGTTCTAAAAGTGATGACTATCAATTCAGTGCTGCAAATTCGACGTTTTGCCATGCTTGTGTGAAAACTGTACCAACAGGTTTAGGTTGACAGACCTCACAAACAATAATTGTATCCTGTAGGAAACAATAATTGAATAATGGAATTGAATCCCAGGGGAGTAAATTTCATCTGGCAAGTTTCTATAGAGAAGCAAGCCTTTGCATGTGATTTTGGGAATCATTTCTCGAAAATGCATTTCACGTGCCACAAAGCGTGTCTGGCAGATTCAGCGGAAGCTGAAGGCAAATGTTCACTGTGAAGCATATCGTTGTTGTTGTTGTGAGCCAGCACAGAGTACAGATACACGCACGAGGTCACCTTACGCTCACTCGTGCTGTGTGCTGATATACTACCCTCTCCCCTTCCCCCCCCCCACCTTCTCCTCCTCCTCCTCCTCCTCCGTAACAGCGGCTTACGCTAGTGGCAAGGGCGTCACGTGCTCACACGTTCTTCCTTTATTATTAACTCAGTAGTGACGAGATTCCCCTTGCCCCCTCCCTAGCCTCCTCCTTCACCCCTTCCCGTGCCTTCTCCCTCACCTTCTCCCTAGCCTCCTCCCTCGCCTCCTCCCTCATCTTCTCCCTAGCCTCCTCCCTCGTCTTCTCCCTCGCCCCCTCCCTCGGCCCCTCCCTCACGTCCTCTCTCGCCCCTTCCCTAGCCTCCTCCCTCGCCCCTCCCTCACGTCCTCCCTCGTCTTCTCCCTAGCCTCCTCCCTCACGTCCTCCCTAGCCTCCTCCCTCACCTCCTTCCTCGCCCCCTCCCTAGCCTCCTCCCTCGTCTTCTCCCTAGCCTCCTCCCTAGCCTCCTCCCTCGTCTTCTCCCTAGCCTCCTCCCTAGCCTCCTCCCTCGCCCCTCCCTCCCCTCCTCCCTCACCTCCTCCCTCGCCCTGCCAATACGTTGTCGCCGTAGCAGTCGAGTACAACGAAGCTCTTGTGTTTATTTTTCTGGCAGAGTATTTACGTGTTATTTATTGCAGTTTTTCATTCGTGTGTATAACACTAAGTATTTATCTTTGGTCAGCATAGTATTTACACCAGCGTACAAGCACGTCACCTCCCAATCCCATGGGGGTGTCTATTTTCGCTGTTGTTGGCATCGTAAGGATATCGTTGGGTATATAAAGTCGGCCACACACACCTCTGCCATTCTTAGCAACGCATGCGACTGACACAGAGGCAGGCCGAAGGTGTTGGGATTGAGATTAACACCTCCCCTATTTTTCTAGTCACATTTCCAGGGATTTCCATCCAAGATATATGCGTGGAGGTACATGTAGGTACTCCCATGCTCCACACAGTGCGCAAAGCGATCATTGTATGTGTCCATTTTCGGATGCTCATCTTTCCATATCATGCTTAAATATAGGTGCATATAAACAAAGCAACAGCCCTAGTCCATTATCGTCCATCTTTGCCTCGCTAGTGACGAAACCAACATATCAAAGCAAAGGTGGAAAAATTAAAACGAAAGAGCACGAACATATCACACGGAGAATAATGAATCGCAGTCATATGAAATATATTTGAATAATAGGACGTGTCATAAAGCCTGGACTGCGGGCGGTAAGAAATGCACACAGTGTGACATAATATATATCAGTCTTCTGTGGTACTCGATCAGTCTTCTCACTGTATTATTGTACAGCAATTATTTATGTGGTGTATACGATGACGACGCTGTAGTGGTGTGTGCTCACGAGTCTATAAATGTTGAAGTATGTGTGTTTACTATAACATGGAGTTGATGTGATACAACCCCCCACCCCCTCTCTCGTCAGCTACATACATATCAGACAGATGTATTAAATATATTATAACTGTAATGTTATTAATATTTTCTGTATCTTTTTGTACTTTATTACTGGTACATGTTTGTACCTATGTATATTCGTAATGTTTTGAGATTTATTGGATAAACTGTGCAGGTCGTTTGGAGGTAAAATCTGTGAACCACCCACATTCGTGCTGCGTATAGAGTGAACAATGGTGGCAATGATGTTGTTCATTAGAAAGTTCCAATGCAACACACTTACAAGGTTCATGATCAGCTACTCCATCTTAACGTCGGGTAATATGTTCAACTGTCAAATGAAATCATCCATACAGCTGGATGAAAATCCTACACTAACACTGCATATTAAGTTTGTGACCTGCATATCAAATCGAATCTGTAGTGTTTTGCGCTCGGTCAACGAACAATTCTAAAGCAGTTGTTTTCACATACAAGTGTTTTCTTTTCAGATTACTCTGTGTACATGTAGGTATTTATTATTTGTTGTAAATTGCTGAGACTTTCCAATAAAACGGTCTTCTTTTGTGAAGATGTATATTATGCGAGTACAAGTGGTTAATGTGGTTTTTGATGTATGTGCATCTCATTTAAAGTAGAGGGATTTCAATGCCAAGAATAATAAATGTAATAGAAGGTTATAGATCTACCCAAGCAATCTTGTTCATTTGGTCTTAAATGCAGCCGTTTACAGTAACGTGATTTTACAACAAGTGTATTACCCAGTTACTACTTATCCATGAGCATACGCTACTGTTTCAATATTAATTCATATCAACGTTTCCCAGCTGTAAACCAGGAACTCTTCTTAAAACAATTCACTCTGTAACATCAGCAATGGCAGCATGATACGCACAATACTTTTCATAGCCACAGAAAAAAACAAGATTTGAATACTTCACACTGCGATATGATACAGATGATACAGAGATTCATCCTAATTCACTCAAGACCCACAAAGTCACTGGTCTCGTTGGACTCGCTATGTTCACAATTTATCATCGCGTTGTGAACGCTCTTATGTCACGCGAGTGCATCGCCCCTCTCTTTGTCAAACGTGGCGTTGTGTGGCTCCATTTATCCACAGACTGGCCATCCTTGTATTCTAGCATGGGGTTTCGGCAGGGTTACTGCCTGCATACATTTCATTGACGCACTGCACCTGCCTCTGCTGGTGGTGCGACCTCAGCTGACAATGTGCCATCTGTCTCTGCATTTAACTTCGTATGTGCTGCACCTTCTGTCTGTAGCTGCGTAGAGTCGGCAGTTGACTCCCGTGTCTCTGGTTGTGAGTCCGTGGCGCCATCTGTTGGTGAAGATTTGCTAACTACAACCCGGTTGGGGATAAATGTCTTTAGCACATCCTGGAAAGATAAACGCATAATGTGACACACACATGCTGATAAATGTAGATCAGAAATAGAAAACTGTGGTTAACGGTAGACAACAATTATTTACAAGTACCGTATATGATCGCGTAATAACCGCGGGCGCCTATAAGCCGCACCTCAATTTGAATCGGGTAAGCAAGTATTGTGCCTAGTATATTTCCCCTCACGGTATGGCGCACTGATAAATCGCAGAGCAAATACAGGGTTGAAATCTGAGGCCAAATTTGCGGTTATTACGCGAGTATATACGGTAATTAATTATTTACATTTTATTTACAAGTATTTGTGACACAGCAGAATGCACTCAATTTCTGGGGGAAGGTAATATGTGACCCGCTCCAGCAAAACCAGGATTAAGTAAGAAATTCTACAAATTGAGTTATGTGCATATCTGAATAGATCATTTAATTACCTTTAAAATGATATATAATATTTGGCTATATCTAAAGAATTGACCGATCTACAGCAATTTGAAGATCGGAAACCGACTTATTCCGGAATATGCAGCTTTTGAGATAAAGCGTTCCGGGTAAGGGGCCCAGTCGGGGATGAGCGGTCAGGGGCCCTTCAAAAAAAATGACTATAATAATCTAGAAATATCTGAACATATATATCCGGATTAAATATGCACTTAGGAACTTATTTTTGTAAAAATCTCATTTTTGTCCAGGTAGGCCATTTTCAGCATTGACATGTGTGCGTGCTCATTACTCAAAACAATGACTTGCGACTTAGTCCGTATTATGCTGGAGCGGGTCACATATAGTCATCCCAAATACCTACTATTCATACACCCCACACACACACGCACACGCACACGCACACGCACACGGACACGCACACACACACACACGTCCTACACACTTATACCCACACGCCCATGTCCTGAATTCCACAGCCACACTCACCACGTAGGTCTCTGGACTGACAGCCTTCAGTGCTTGTCCGAACTGAGTGCTTCTGATATTGTTGTCATTGTGACTGTCAGTGTCGTCTGTTTCTCTGGTGTCGTAGACATGCAGAGACAACGTGTTGAGCCATTGCATCATGCTGCGGCGGGTGGTCAAGCGAAATCAAATACGATATACAACCAGAAATGTTGCCATAGCCTGCCTCTCTCTCTCTCTCTCTCTATCTATCTGTTTGTCTCTCGGTCTCTTGCGCATTCTCACACTCTCACGCCATCTCCGCCTCCATCTTTCCCTGTCTCCTGTGTTTCTCTCTCTCTTTCTCTCTTTCCCGCTCCCTCCCTTCCTCTCTCTCTCGCTCGCTCCCTCCCTCTCTCTCATTCTGTCTATGAAAGAAGGATACGAATTCTCATCTTTCTCTGTGCGAATGATTGTTGAATAGATGTATTCATGCTTGAACTTCTCAATCTCTTCCTATGAGGGAGCAACAGACAGTATGAACACCAATAACATTAACTACTCTGGAAATAATGAAATAGATGAACGTTCATTATGACAAAGGCACCACGAATATTCCATGCCTGATCATCACAAAAATACCTTGTACTCTTCCCACTCGATAGGATCGTGAAATCCATCACTGCCATGTCTGTTGTTGTATGCCTCAAAGTGCACCTTCTCCAAACACAGTCCAAGCCCTGGTGCTCTAGGGATATCAACCTACATTTACAAAAACCAAAAGATTACAGTCCATGGCAGTCCACAACCTAAAGATATTATTTGAAATTATGTGCGCTAAGCGCACATCACGAGCACAAAGCACGAAGTCACTTGCGGCCGGGGTCCAGGGGCCGCCTTAGGGCCCTGGAAGACCAGGGGTTTTAGATGCTCTCTGGTGCAATCTGAACCTTATTTTGGAGCACAAAATTTATGACCTATATTTCAAAATAATTTGGGTTGAGTCAAGAGTTATTACTGATATTATATTATTATTATTATATTAATTTATTATTATATTATCATGAGTGATGAGTCATTTTTCATTGTTCAATTTGTATACTAGTGTGAATGTAACCAGTAAAATGTTATAAAGCAATGTGCAAAAAATGCAAATAAATATACTACAAGGTGAAACTATATTGATCGAGTGTGGGTGGCATGCGAGCTGCGAGTTGCTAATTAAAAAATGGATGAGAAAAACTTCTTGCCAAATTTACGGCAAAGATACCGCAACGAAAGTAAAACATACAGCAATATGGTTTATAAACTTGGAAATGGGAATATTGCCGATTCTGAGAGTAGACGAAATGGGAGTAGGCGAAATGGGGCGTTGGCGAAATGGGAGTAGGCCAACTGCATGGGATGTTACCAGTTAAACATAGGTGACATTTCTTGCTAATCAAGCAGTCGACTCTAAGGCTTTGTTAGAGGTACGGTCAGCCAGCCCAAACAGCCAACCTAGTATTTTAACCTTTTTCACGACAGGTAATTCACGGGAAAAATAGTTAAGCGTTGAGGTTAAGTTAATAGTTGAGCGTTGACTTACTAACGTGAGTTGCGAATGATAAATATCTGGCAATATATGGTACTATCCCAGTACCCGACTCGCAACTCGCAACTCGTAGGTTACCAACGCTGATATTGATGAGGCTCAGGACAAGTGAACGTCTACGTCGGACAAGTTATTCGTTTGGCTAGTTGCCTGATTGGACAACTAAAAAATGTCTAGTTGCGTAATATTCCTAACATCCTTTGAGCCAGGGCGCTATCGCACGACAACGGGACATTCTCACATTATATTTTCAAGTCACCGAAAAAAGCGGCCCGCGAGGCACGCGTCTGTGGCTGTACACATCGACGCTGCATACGTGCCTGCTGGCTGGGGGCAGCATTGATTGAAGTACGGGGGGGGCACATGATTGTTTCAGTCGCGCGGTGCTAATCACTACTGAAATGTATTGGGTGAGCACCGCTGGACTATGAGAGAGCAACAGCAAAACTCTTTCCAGGAATTAAGGAAAAAGCTACAATCGGGACTGACACACGAGTGTGCCGGCACGCAAAAATAAACGTCTGAATTTCATTACGATTTTCCATGGATTACCGTTCTATAATCATACGGGTCTACATAGGCACGCCCGCAGGCACACGCACGCACACACAGGCACGTGCGCAGGCACGCATACAGGCACGCGTGCACGAATCAGAGCAAGCAGCTCAGAAAACGAAGACGCACTGTATGACTCAACTGCCCGACAAGTGGGGGCCCATGCACAGAGTAAAACAGTGTAATAGGCGGTAATAGTGTATGCTACAAGCGTGCGCTGTGACTACGCGTACGTCCCGTTCGACAGTGCAGTACGGTTGCATTTTGCTTTGTTTGTGTTGTTTCTTGCTTTGATATTTCAAACCTGTCGGCCTGAAATCCAAACCTGTCGGCGATTTTCAAACCTGTCGGCTAAAAACTCAAACCTGTCCGCTTTATACATGTTAAAACCCCTCGTGGACCGCACTGTAGTCACTCCCCAACTCATACTCTAAGCAAGAAGACTTCACACTTGCTAGAAAATAAGATTTGCGTGAAGTGTGAAATGCTGTGTTGTTTACAAAGCATGCGAGATAACTGTAGAAATCCGGCGTAAGTAATAGATTGCAGCTCTAGGCAGATCCAAGTATCACTATCAGTTGCTCGATAAACGCTCTCAACTTAACGACTGCGCAATGGCTTCATAGCTACAAATTAGCTACATAGTTGCACGTAAGTCGTATCACAGCAACCCTGTTGACAAGCAATTTTGGGAGCTCTAGCAAGTGTCAAGGTAACCAGAAGATGTGGGATGGTACCTTCCATCCCCTTGTTTATAGACTTCCAATAGGAGCTATCGATAACAGTGGTGACATAGAGCTCGGGCGTGTGTTACAATGATAGGAGTGTGCGCATCTCCGTAAGTGTTTCTCATTAAGATTGCTAAGAGCTTCTACATGTGCTAGATTAGAGGTTCTTCTATTTATTCGAAGTTCATCTTGCAGGGAACCTAACTGAAAGAGACTTGGTATTTCTCCCTTGTGGTCATAAAGTAAATCTTTCATTCTCTTTTAATTCTCGTCTTTGCTTTCTCATTAGTTTCTTTCACAGTTTTATCAGCACGAACTCTATCCGTGTAGTGCACGTCTCCACGTAATTGTACACTAGTATTTTACTTGCCCCTTCGCCACTATATATAACTATAATATGTGATCTATGAATGTAAGAAATAAAGTATAAATGTATGCTTTGATTATAACTAATTTCTGGCTTGTTTTACTGCCAACTAAAACTCCCTGTCAGACATTTGACTGTCACTAAGCATGTGTAGTAAGACAGTTAGTGACATTATTGTAGCAGTATTCATATTATTTTATACACTGCACCGACGCGCCATCTATTATGAGCGTTGTACGTGAGAAAAGCAATCCAACATGGCAGCGCCCCTGTCAACGTTGTAACTTCGTTCGTGCTTAATAAATCATCTTAACTACAACCAAGACTTGTCGAATACCATTACAATTATAGCTTAGCCTCACTGATAGATGGCCATCAGTAGCAAGGTGCAAACACATACTCACTTTCTCAGCCTCCCAAGCTCTACTAAAGACACTCTGGTCAGTCAGACCGCGTGCCACAGCTATCACCAATCCTGCCAAAAAATCACATATATAATGTGTATAATAAACCTGATGTTACATATTGTTCTAAAAAAAAATCAAAAGTGTTGCCCATTATAACATTGCATGACCCGTTGTTCACTTGCAAGGCTGCAAATATATCTGCAAACTGTCACAACGTTAAAGCCCATAACTCATTGATGTACGAACAAGTCATATTATAATGACAATTTACCATCTACCTAAAAGTTCGCTTGCGCACACACACACACACACACACACATCATAAAACTGAATCACTATCGTGTAATTTTAAATTCGGCTCATTAGCACCAGTGAATTGCACTTGTGCAGAGTTGCAATGATAATGGACTTACCAATCATTTTCCTAATCTGATGCAACATGAAGCTTTGCCCTTCAACCTTCACCTCACAGAATTCAATTCCCTCCACCTCAAACTGTGTGCCTATCTGAAAACAAATAATTTTTTAGATGTACCATGCAAGAAGTCTGCTTGTGTATTCTTCATTTTTGTTTTTCTCATGGCACAGGTACCTACTATCAGACTCTGAAGCAATAAATCAGCTATTAATTGATCCACATCTCTAACCTTCAAGCCAAGATTGTGGCTTACCTGTGATGTAATTAGAAGTACATGAATAGCAGGGTGCGAAATTAACGGGAGTCCGGAGTCAAATACTCCCTGATTTACTGCAGGACTCCCTGATTTGACATATGCAGGAGTCCGTGCGACTCCCTGAAAATTCTGTCATACTAACTAGTTCGTTCCAGACCACGGCCTCGCGTAATTACCGTATTTTGTAAGCAAATGTCCAAAGACAATTTTATCTTAAAAAAAAAGCACATGCGTTATTGTTAATATCTTTAATTTTGAACTTCAGACTGCGGACTCCCTCATTTTGCCGCGGACTCCCTGTTTTTGAGGGCAGGGAGTCCGTTGGACTCTCTTGTTGAAAAGTTAATTTCTACCCGTGAATAGAGAGGAGTATTTGAATTAATACTGCTCAACAAGAGACAAACGTACCTCAATATTTTTCACAAACCTCTTGGCACTTGGATCATCAGCCTTCCTGCAAAAAATTCAAGTTTGCATGAGATTTGTTGAACTTCGTTTTGTAGAGAATTATTAGAACACTATCATAATACTGTTATATTACAAAGTGTAAAAGATTATCAGTCTGTATAAATCTATCAATAAATGACTATTGTCTTGTATGTAGTTGTTGTTTTCTTAACGACAAGTAAAATGTAATAATCATCAAATTTGAATCTTATATTAAGACAGAGTATAAATAACATGTACTTTTCGCCACTGAACAGTCTTGTGATTACAAATCACAATTATAACAATATAAGGGATCTTCGCACACTATGCCACCAGGCTGAATTCGGATAGCTACTGTTTCATTGTGCCTACTCATCTCACCTGCCTGAGGTGAAGTTGTGAAAATTCCTTGTTCCCTTATAGTTTTGAAAAAGGCGTGACACTTCATCCATTACATCCTCTAAACATAGACACAAAAAAACGAGCAATAAGAATTAACATTCAACAGTAGATTACAACTGAATCATCATTGATCAAGTATTATCAACTAAATTCTGGGTGTAGAAGTATGTACATAAAAGTAAATAATGCATCACTATTGTGTTTCTATGATGCAACAACTGTTTAAAGCCTTACTTGTTATCCTGTAACTCTCGGATGTAACCTGGAAAATGCACAGAAATTTACTACATTGGATGTATTTGCTTCCATTGGATACTGGTTTGATACAATTATGAGTGACACACCCTTTGCTTATTGTTCTGATGTGTCACACAAAACTTAGGAAAGGTAGTTTGAACAAACCGTACTTACCTGGTCTACTGGAGCGAAAGCGAATGTTGGCAGCACATACATGTACGTCCGACCGGAGCAGTTCAACTTCGCATTAAAGCCCTGCGTCACTCTCTTATAGCCTTCACCAACATAAAAATACATTATAACAACTTATATGTATAATATACACACACGCACGCACGCACGCACCCACGCACGCACGCACGCACGCACGCACGCACGCACGCACGCACGCACGCACGCACACACACATATAGTACTAATACGAAATACCCCTAGACAATCACTCCCACCCCACCTAAGGACAATTTCCCCAAGACAATTACCCCCAGGGACAATCATCACCCTCCCAGATAATTACCCCCCAAATCATCCTCTGTACAATATTGGACCGCCTATAGGACATTTATAAGAACTTGACACGATGAACTTATGAATGTTAATGTGTTTTTACCGAGAACTCTAATCTGTGGTGTAAGGTGCTCGTTAATCCTTGCTGCTGCATCCTCCTCCAGCAACATGTAAATAGAATCAAGAAAATCACCGGTCATTTAATATCGCACACCTCAACCGATGGAATAAACAATGTAAGGATTACTCGTGATGTCCCAACGGACAGTACCAGCTTGAAATCAGTATGACCAGATTGCTGTTTCTGCGTGTTGGTCCCAAGCACTGTCTTCTCACAAAATCACTAATGTGATCACACGTCACAAGTGAAGCCGTGAAATATTGTTGTTTATAACTCGGCTTCAACGAGAACCAAATGCTGCAAACAGACTCACGAAACTTGTGAGACCCTTTTCAGATTATGTATTCGCCGATAATTTTTTTCAAATAAAATAACCAGATTGCTAGCGAATTTCATGTCCGATTTTTTAACACAACTATTAAACTAATATTTGTTAACAACTCATTAATGGATATCACATTCCACATATGAGATGGAATATCTCATACGAATGGAATGGATATCTCTAAAATGGATATCTCCAACTATTCACTGGATTTGTCATACATATCTTCAGTGAGACAACTTGTCCAGCGGCGGACACACCCTTGTCTGTGCGGGCGCATCGCTGGAACTTCATGCGTTTCGTGTCGTCTGCGTGTGCCTGTGGCACCACCTGGGCCTGTACCAATGCATCCAGCAGATCATTCTCAATGGTACGCACGCCAGGGTTGCTGTAACAAGGTTGAGTAAGATAAAACGAGAACACCTCAAAGAAATACCATTCGCGTCTACATCAATTTTAATACTGGACAACCCACACAGACAGAAATGGAAGTTCCATACATCTACTTTAATAACAGACAGCACATGCAGACAGGAATGAAAGTTCCACACGTCTACTTTAAAGTGACTACGTCTCAAATTTTCTATGGTAAAATTGTAACATTTTTGTTGCCATTGTTTTACATTAAAAGTAAGAACTAACGGGACTAAATGTATTGTCAAATTCTTACCTGATAAGATTGTTTCTCAACTAGCTATAAATGCAAAAAACCTGGACGACTTGATATTAGTGTTCATAACATTAATTGCTTGCTATGGGCTATGTATGAGTCACGAGTGTATGTTCACGTCAAACAATATAGTAAAATAAGAAGTATAATGCAGCAATTTAACCATAAAAAGTGAACAGAATCACTTATATTTTGTGAAAAAATGGATTGTTTTTCTTCTTTTTTACTATTTACGGTGACGTAATCACTTTAATACTGGACAGCCCACGCACACGGGAATGGAAGTTCCCTAACATAATTGAATTAATCATACTTATCTTGAAATAGATAAATAATAAACAAATATGAGACAAACTCTGGGGGTAAAGTGGCATTGCCTAAAAGGAGCCCACTATTGATCAAATATTTCTATTTTAAATACAATAGCTTTTGATTCAATTCAATTAGGCTATGATGTGAATCCATGCAGATAAACCGCACACGTACTGCAGTGCTGCTCATAGGGTCTATGTCCCCCATGGTACTGCCGGAACGTACCCTGGGTACGGTCCGGTATACCGGAACGTACCCTGGTAACTATTTAATATGGTTAGGGTTAGGGTTATGGTTAGGGTTAGGGTTAGGGAGTAGGCGACTCCCTAGACTCGTTAGTGGAGTAGGCGAGGTATGGTGCGGCATATTAGATAGTACTCAGGGTACGTTCCGGCAGTACCCTGGGGGACATAGACCCTCTCAGCTGCAGTGCTAGACAGTCTGCAGCCGGATCCGCGCGAAGCGCGCCAACGCCGCGACGCGGCAAAAACTAACACAGGATCGCTGCCCCTACTCAAATAGCTTTACATGTGCTCTTCGAGTAAGGGCTCAAGCCGTATTATCGGTCCCTTCAGCAGTTGTGGCCATTGCAAGGCGACACGCACACACACATATAGTACTAATACGAAATACCCCTAGACAATCACTCCCACCCCACCTAAGGACAATTTCCCCAAGACAATTACCCCCAGGGACAATCATCACCCTCCCAGATAATTACCCCCCAAATCATCCTCTGTACAATATTGGACCGCCTATAGGACATTTATAAGAACTTGACACGATGAACTTATGAATGTTAATGTGTTTTTACCGAGAACTCTAATCTGTGGTGTAAGGTGCTCGTTAATCCTTGCTGCTGCATCCTCCTCCAGCAACATGTAAATAGAATCAAGAAAATCACCGGTCATTTAATATCGCACACCTCAACCGATGGAATAAACAATGTAAGGATTACTCGTGATGTCCCAACGGACAGTACCAGCTTGAAATCAGTATGACCAGATTGCTGTTTCTGCGTGTTGGTCCCAAGCACTGTCTTCTCACAAAATCACTAATGTGATCACACGTCACAAGTGAAGCCGTGAAATATTGTTGTTTATAACTCGGCTTCAACGAGAACCAAATGCTGCAAACAGACTCACGAAACTTGTGAGACCCTTTTCAGATTATGTATTCGCCGATAATTTTTTTCAAATAAAATAACCAGATTGCTAGCGAATTTCATGTCCGATTTTTTAACACAACTATTAAACTAATATTTGTTAACAACTCATTAATGGATATCACATTCCACATATGAGATGGAATATCTCATACGAATGGAATGGATATCTCTAAAATGGATATCTCCAACTATTCACTGGATTTGTCATACATATCTTCAGTGAGACAACTTGTCCAGCGGCGGACACACCCTTGTCTGTGCGGGCGCATCGCTGGAACTTCATGCGTTTCGTGTCGTCTGCGTGTGCCTGTGGCACCACCTGGGCCTGTACCAATGCATCCAGCAGATCATTCTCAATGGTACGCACGCCAGGGTTGCTGTAACAAGGTTGAGTAAGATAAAACGAGAACACCTCAAAGAAATACCATTCGCGTCTACATCAATTTTAATACTGGACAACCCACACAGACAGAAATGGAAGTTCCATACATCTACTTTAATAACAGACAGCACATGCAGACAGGAATGAAAGTTCCACACGTCTACTTTAAAGTGACTACGTCTCAAATTTTCTATGGTAAAATTGTAACATTTTTGTTGCCATTGTTTTACATTAAAAGTAAGAACTAACGGGACTAAATGTATTGTCAAATTCTTACCTGATAAGATTGTTTCTCAACTAGCTATAAATGCAAAAAACCTGGACGACTTGATATTAGTGTTCATAACATTAATTGCTTGCTATGGGCTATGTATGAGTCACGAGTGTATGTTCACGTCAAACAATATAGTAAAATAAGAAGTATAATGCAGCAATTTAACCATAAAAAGTGAACAGAATCACTTATATTTTGTGAAAAAATGGATTGTTTTTCTTCTTTTTTACTATTTACGGTGACGTAATCACTTTAATACTGGACAGCCCACGCACACGGGAATGGAAGTTCCCTAACATAATTGAATTAATCATACTTATCTTGAAATAGATAAATAATAAACAAATATGAGACAAACTCTGGGGGTAAAGTGGCATTGCCTAAAAGGAGCCCACTATTGATCAAATATTTCTATTTTAAATACAATAGCTTTTGATTCAATTCAATTAGGCTATGATGTGAATCCATGCAGATAAACCGCACACGTACTGCAGTGCTGCTCATAGGGTCTATGTCCCCCATGGTACTGCCGGAACGTACCCTGGGTACGGTCCGGTATACCGGAACGTACCCTGGTAACTATTTAATATGGTTAGGGTTAGGGTTAGGGTTAGGGTTAGGGTTAGGGAGTAGGCGACTCCCTAGACTCGTTAGTGGAGTAGGCGAGGTATGGTGCGGCATATTAGATAGTACTCAGGGTACGTTCCGGCAGTACCCTGGGGGACATAGACCCTCTCAGCTGCAGTGCTAGTTGTAAGGTACGTGTTCACCCACCGCTGCATGCCATTGTATCCAACTCCTGAGTACATCATCAATAGTGCAACCTTCTTCTTCTTTACATTTGGCTTGTGGCATTCCTACAGAAATAACGGTATTGAGCTCTCTGACCATTTCACTGGTGACTAACATGTAAAAATTTCGCACTATTCTAACTACTCTTGTCTCGTCAAGAAGAGTTCGAGCACAGGCACTTGGGACAGAGTCAGTAAAAACTGAAAATAATATGAACGTACATTCACAAATAGGCTCTACTACCGTACCTCTCTGTTACAGCTCCAATGTTGCATCACTGTATATCAACTTTCCTTCATAAAAACCTACGGTTTTTATGAAGGAAAGTTGATATACAGTGACGCAACATTGGAACTATAACAGAGAGGTACGGTAGTAGAGCCTATTTGAGTATTTCAGTATTAGTGAATGTGCGTTCATATTATTTTCAGTTTTTACTGACTCTGTCCCAAGTGCCTGTGAGTTCGAGTACAGATTAAAAACCATGCAAGTAGAATTTATTCAGTTTTGAAATGTGAAGAATACCCACATTTAATATTAATAACAACTTACAGATGATACTTTTAACTTTTTAGCATCGCTAGCGGCATCGCCACCATCATTCGATATTTGATCGTGGTCACGCTTCGTGTCTGCACTAATAGCGCCCTCTGCCATGCTTACAGGCGACAGAATGTTACGCAGATCTTTTAGTATCGACAAGCTCGAGTTGCAAATCCTCTTGAACATGGATGAGAATGTATATACTTGTGCTCAATGTTTTAAGTGACAGTGTTCACATAAAAACACTTACACAGACCGACAAACGATAAGTAACTCGTACGCCGTGTGAGGGCCCCTTAAATTAAACTCAACACATGCAGGCACAAACACTCAAGTCTTGACACAATTAAATATTGTGCTTTTACGGTTTTATCAGGATAATTGCTTGATAATGTAGTGCTCTGGCATTGGTATACGCGTTATTACAACATAAATATCCTTTCACATGGCCGCTGCCATATTGTATTCCCAGCATGCAACGCAACTATCGAGCAATGCAGGCGAAAACGCAGCCGGATGAAAGGGGTGGTAGGATATGTTTACTAGGCACTTCTAATTTTAACATATCTTTTAAATTTAATTAAGGTCAGGGTTAGGGTTAGGGTTAAGGTTAGGGTTAGGGCACTTTTTTGCATCATTCTTTAATATATCGTAAAATATATGTTAAAGGGAGAGTTTACTCTAGGTTCTAGGGTTATTTTCAGCTAATTTAGGTTATAATTACGCTACATAAAAAGTTTCATGGTTCAATCACCATTAGAAATTTTTTTTTTTAATGTTTTAAAACTAACGACTACATTTTGATTACAACGACGGTGGCGCCACT